TGATGTGTCATCCTTTTGCCCTTTCCCTGACAGTGAGTTTTCTTCTAGTCAACGCAAATGTTCATATAACTTTTGACCTATCACTTTTAACAGCTTTTAAGATCTGACTAACTGCCTTGCAAAAATTTGGGGAAGGTTTTCCTAAATAGGAGGTAAAATGATCTGTGGGTCTGTACACCTTTTTCCTCCACAAGCTTGGTGAAAAGCAAGTGTATGTAGTATGCAAGAACTGTAGTATGTTAGTGTGTGATAATAGCTTGACCTGAAGTGTGAATTGGCCACTAGACACTGTTTAAGATTACGAGACCCCTATCCTGTAAGTAGATCCACATGGACAGGTCCCTGCCACTGCTCAAAGCTCCCATCAGATGAAGTCCCATTGTCCACGTGGATTTTCCTGCAGCATCAATGCTTTAGGCAGAAAGGATGGTGTTGATTTCGCATAGCTTTAGGTATCTGAGTTGTGGATGTGTGTATCTGAGCTAGGGCCGTCTTAGGCTCCCTTGTATTCAGTGGAGAGAAGTAGGCATATCTGGGGTGCAGTCCATCTGTCCAGAAGGAGATGTCAGCTTAAATGAGATTAATTGTGCTGTAGAAATATTTATTGCTTTCTACAGCATATAAAGTCACCCCCATCTCTGTCACTTAGAGATAGATATCTGCATTTGATCAGATGAACCCAGGCAAAGAGTCCCAGACAGGGAGACAGCCTTTTCTTATTCTCACCCTTCCTCTTTCAGGCTCCAGATGCTTGAAGCTATCTGCAAACACTGGGAAGGTCCAATCAGCCTGGCACTCTATCTTTCTGATGCAGAAGCCCAGCAATTTCTGCGCTACGCCCAGGGCTCAGAAGTACTTATGAGCCGCCACAATGTCGGCTACCATATCGTGTACAAGGAGGGCCAGTTCTATCCTGTGAATCTGCTAAGGAATGTGGCCATGAAGCATATCAGCACACCATACATGTTTCTGTCTGACATAGACTTCTTGCCCATGTATGGACTCTACGAGTATCTCAGGTAAATGGACAGTGGAGGGATTCCCACCGTCATCTGCGTTTTCAGCCCCTCCACACCCCACCCTTCTCACATATTCCCAAAACAATGCAGTTTGAGCAGATCTGAAAGAGGCAGCTTGTAGATGTTTAGGGTGTGACAATGCCCAGCAAGGCACAAGAATTTTTAGGGTAAAGGAAGGGGCTGTAACTGGAAGTAAAGCAATATGGTTATGAGAGAAAAAACTCAGGTCTAAATGTAACCCCTGTTAGCCATCAGAATAATTCTGTCAGAGCAGCAGAAGAATCAATTTGAAAATTGAACTGGACTAAGTATGTGCAAGAGCATCCTGTATTAGCAGAGATGTGAACCAGATGATTTCCCTAAACATCCCTGGTTCTTAATGTCACTGACAGAAAAAACATGCAAAGCATTACTACACTTGTTGTCCCTGTGACACACTCTTAATCCAGTTCTATATCTTGAAAAGAGGGTGATAGTCTAACCAGCTCAAAAATAGGACTGCAACGCCAGCAATTGTCAAGGCAAAATAATTAGCATAAGGAAACTGGGAAGAATAGCCTCAGTGTGTATTGCATCATAATGAATGTGAGCAAACTACAGACCTCTGATCCATTAACTGAGCTTTTTTTAATAAAGACCTTTTTCCCCTGCAGAGGCTGGTCATCTGAGGCCAAAGCATAGAGCAAGGAGGACACCCTGTGGCCAGATAGGAGGATTTCAGTTCTTTAGTCCTGACCAGTTTTGCTTTTCATCTCTATTCTAGTTTGGTAAAAGTTGATCAAAGTGTTCCAGTAGGGGTCTGCCTGTAGGTGATCCTTTTCAGTCCGTAGACGCAGGGGTTTGGAGCGTAAAGGGAAATATACCTCTCGGTATCGTAACTTATGGAGGAATTCCTTTGTTTCGGGTTTAACAACTCAGTAAACATCTTCTCACTTCTCCCTCATGTGGAGAATTAATTGCCTTTTTCAATTTCTGCATCCATGTACGGGGCCAAATTCACTATGGCTTTTAAGACACTGGATTGCAATAATGTCATTGAAGTTCTATTGCACGGTGTCAGCTTGTTTCCCACTTATTTTAGGGATATTTCTTTTTGACTTGTGCTATGAGGACTCCAAAATAATTCTGTCCCTTGCACACATTAGCTGTCTCAAGGCACATGTGGGGATAGTTGTTAGCTTTTCTGTTCTTTGACGTTAGTGTTGCATGCTGTTACATTTCTTCAGATCGATGCTGGACACAGTGAGGATAGCAGCTGTTGATGCTGGCATGTAGTACTAAAAAAGGAACTTGTTCCTCCATGCTGCTTCGCAGTGCACTGACGGGAGCCAGCACTGAAAGGAAGAAGAGAAAAGACAGAATTATGTACCGCAAGATACTTGAGACATTACAACCATAGAAATAATTCTTGTATGGTGATAATGTATTATAGGACTAAATGCACAGCGATGCCACCCATTGGTGCTGTTTCAGAAAAAAAACAGATTCATGCTGAAAGCTGTTACATCTGAGACTTTGTGTTATTCTACCAGCCTTTTGTGAGGCCCATACCAGCCTTTTGTGGGCCTGTACCATCTTAACTCTGACTGTGAGTCTCTGTTGCCTGGGAATATCGAAATTGCTAATCTGCTACTACCAGCTCTTTATAAAGGGATTGGATTTTTTTGCGTATGGAGCTGAGGCTTTTGTTGCTTTTTCAATAATGATTTTTCTGAGCAAAATAGCAGGGAGGTGCAGTGAGATTATTTTAAATACAGATATCCTGTATCTTTCTGCATTGACTGTTCCCACCGCCTCTGCAAGTAGTTGATTAGTGCTATCTGTCTGAATGGCAGCGATTGTTTGTTAAAGAGATGTACAAACATTTTCATCTTCATTTCCTCAGATAGAACAACAATAAGCAAATAGAAATAGTGTGGTGTTTCAGGCATCGCTTTGTACAGGATGGGCCAGACAAGTCCCTCTCACTGCAAGTTTGCTGAGTTACATATATTGTATATTGTGTTTCTACAGACAATATATTCTCAGAAAGAAAGGAATTTTGAAAAATATTTTTGAAATATTTTGAAAGTAGTGTATGTGAAAGGTTACCGTCAGTTTTGAAGGAGAAGCTGATGGAGCTGATGGTTCCCTGTCCCTCTAGGTATCTGTTGCTAGCACTTAGATTTGTGCTAATTGAGCTTTTTCACAGCTGCCAAATAAGACCATTTCAATGCTTTTAATCTCCATCAAACCCCGTTTTTGTTCTACCTTACTCTTCTGTGAAGTACAAAAGGGAAGAAATGTATCATTTAGAGATCTCCTGTTTACTAAATTCAGACACTTTCATGGTCTGTGCTGAGCCAAAGTCTTTTGTCACCTTCCCTCATTAGTTACTGAAGTCATCTCGTCATTGCCCCAGAGGTAAAGGCTCTTTCTGGTTGCTACAAATAAGGTGTGTGGGTCATCCTAAAGGTTCTTCTAACATGAAATAACTAGACAGGCTATCTACAGTTGTCACAGCTAGCATTAAAGTTCTTTCCTGACACATTTGTGTAAAATATGCCCTTCACTTCCAGTGACACATTTAGCATGAATTGGGAGCTGGCATCCAAGCTCTATCCACAGGTTTTGTACATGTGCCCTGCAACATGAGTTGTGAAGTATTTCTGGTTGTTCTTCATGTTGTGCCTATTGTTTTTTATTTGTTGGATGCCTTCGTAGGCTATGCATTCATTGCTTTTGCAGAGAGGAAGAACATTCAGATTACTTTAACAGTGAACTGACAACTCTCCAGTTCTTACCACAAGCTCTGTGACTGCCGTATTCATTGATCTCGAACCAACCACTTACCGAGTCCTGATGGTGGAAGCTAATTTGAATTAATGGACTCTTTTTTTTTTCTGAATTCAGTGCTTTAGGATTAGGTTGCTAACCTTTCTGTGTCTGAGCTTCTCTGTCCTCCAGAAATGGGAATGTTATTACTATCTGCCTCCATGAGGATGAGAATTCTGTGTTAATTTTTGGAAAGAACTATGGAGATGAAAAGATTGATATCAACATGCTGGAGTTCATTCAACCTGTGAGGAGACTGTTGTGATTTAAGATTCATTTCTTCCATGCTTTGTGAAAAATAGGGTTGATTAGTAAATTAGGAAATTTAACCCAACTTTCACTGTGACAGAATGACATACATCAGGTCTGAACACAAAGATGCCTGGGAAACGGTTTCCTGGACAACACTAGCAAAGAGAAAGCTCTTCATAAAATCATATATCCTTATTTTGGGGCTTGGGGAAAAAGGACAGATAAAGGAAAATGGATACTGGATCAATATTACTGAATCCAAAAAATAGCCCTCATAAAGATAGTGCAGGAATTAAACAGTTTACCCAGTGCTAGTTTGCAAAATAATGAAATATATTCCCTACATTATATTCCACATATCTTGCAACACCAACAGTGAAAATTTTCCTATTCCAAGTATCACAGAACCAGTCAACCAGCAAATGGCACCTACACTCAAAACAGGGAAAAAAGTCACCCCACAGAAAAGGAAAAGTAGATTTCCTTCTAATAGGAAGAGGTTAGTTTTTCAGCTGGTTGTCCGAGGAGCAGACCACCAGCCAAGGTATCAGAAGAAAATGGAAGATGTTTTTTTCTCTACCAAATCCTCCCTGCCTTTATCACAATTTCCTTTGTCACTCAGGTTCAACACCCGGATGTTAGCACTGATTCCTTCTTCCCCTTACATTAGTCCTTTATGTCATCTAAACCAAAGGCACACTGTTCTACTCGGAAGTCAGTGCTGCTGGACTTCTTGACTGAGCATGTCTCAACTCCCAGCTCAGTTTTGGTGAACGCCTCCACTTTGACCTTACCAACATGCACCTCAGATGCTCACATATCCTTGAAAATATCCCGCTATTTTATTTCACTCTTGACATACCTCCACCAGTTCTCTGTGTTTGACTGTATCCACTACAAGCATTTTGTTTTCAGATCTCTGCTTTTCTCCACTTGCTAACTTTTCATGTTGACCTTTGACAGTGCAAGTGATTTCAGCCTCGTTTCAGTTTGTTCCCTCTGCCTTTTGGTTTTCTTCATGAAGGTACTGTCATCTATTCTTTCCATCAGTTCTGCCACTGACACCTGTATTAAATTTGCAGGTGACAAAAGTAGGGAGTGTGCAAAAAGGATTACTGATATCCACATCATTTTTGTGTTTGTATACCATATCTTACAAAATGAGTCACGTTCAACACTAGTTTCAACACAACTTGCTCTGTCTGACTGTCTCTGCTGTTACCCTTGCTTGATACCTATACCTACTTCAGCTCTTTTCAGCTTCAGACTGTCAACATTGGTGGGCAGGGCTGTCTCCTACTCTTCGACATTGCCAAAGCACAACAGGGCCTTGATTTTGCCTGGGAATTTTGAGCTGTCCATCAAACAAAGAGATAGCAACAGCCATAAATGGAAGCTGCTTTTCTTGCAGAGCCCAAAGGGTGAGCATCACTGCAAATGTTACCTGCTCCTTCCTAGAACTGAATCCCCAAAGCTGTGCCGCTCAAGGCTGATAGATTGCACAGAGTCCAGAAAGCCTGAGATGTTGTCAAAGAAACTTTGTTAGTGTGCCCTACTTGCAGAGAAGGTGTGAAGGCAAAGAAACATTAAGAGCATCCTAAAGAATGGATGCTAGCACTACTCTGATTCTGGAAGGTCGTGGAGGCTGATTGTGAAGGATTCATCTATTTACATGCAGATATCTTGGCCTTTAGTGATGGTGAGGGAGAAGATAGTGAGAAAAGTACAAAAAAGTTATAATAAGATGCTGTTAAAGTCTTTCAGTTGTGAAAAGTTCACTGGAATGTGGCAGGAGTTTGCAGTAAAGCGCTGAGAACAGATCTTTTTTTTCTAGAATAGGCCTATAGGGTGGTATGAATTCTCTAAAATTCAGATTTTATTAAATAGGCCTGCTTTTCTTTTTCTCTGATGGCAATACAAATGAATTCTAGGTATTCTGGGCCTAGAAAAGTGGTTTATTTGGTCCTTCTGTTATTATGACAGTGATCCCAATTCCTTCATCTTATAAGGCTGTAGAGAGTTTGCTGCTTGTCAACATTGTCCTTGATTGCTTGTTGCAGGAACATAAAAGTCAGGACAGTGAATCCTGTTAAGGGGAACTGACTTTGACAGGGAAAGAGAGGCATATTTCTCGTATGAAATATAAAGATAATGAAAGAAAAATGGAAACAGAGTTATTTCTAATGAAAAGCATAGTGAGATTCAGTTTTGGGATGGAAAAGTAACTTTTTTTTCTTTTTCTTTGGGTTTTAGTTTGTTATGAAAGAATAGACTGAATACCTCTGGCAGGCAGTGCGTAAGGTTGCCAAGCTGTTGCTCTCCTGCAGCAGTGGTCCTAAGGCCCCTGTCTGGAGAAGGGCCCTACTGTGCAAAATGCAGTATGTGCCCCCCCACACACACTCTCACACACCAAACCAGTCGCTGCACTGAACAACTTGAAGCGAAAGAAGGCAAAAAGCAAGGTATCTCAGCGCATCCAGTGCACAGCTCTTCCCTGCAGGAAACAGCCTCTTTGCCCTACATATACAGCCAAGCACAAATGAGCTTTGATCTCTGGGCACTACCACGCACATTATTGACAATAGTCAAAAAAATACTGCTAATTTACAGTTTTGCTGATTTGCACCATGGCCTGTTGCAGTAGATCTGTGCCTTGCCTTGAACAATGACCAACGATCATGGCAACAGTGTGCTTGAGGGCAAATATCTGGTCCATAGTGGCGTTAAGATAATGTTCACCTTGCAGGACACACAGAGCTCTAAAGCAGAGGTAGAAAGCAAGTATGATGGCACAGCATAGCACAGAGAATAGCTAGGCTGAAATGCAACCAAACTTTTCGACTCCTCGCCTTGTAAAGTCCCACTGAGTCCTGGATAAATGCCATTTTTTTAGAACTGCCATCGACTGCACAACTCTTTACCACGTATGTAGCAACATTTAACTATGTTTCTCTTAGGTGGTCAGTTGGCTGTGCTCAGAGTGCTAGTTCAGCTCTGTGCACCCCTGGACATGCAGGGCAGCATTGATCAGTCAAACACACAAGCTCTCTTTGAACTGTGATTGTTTTCCCTGCTCTTAGAGCAGCAGATTCGAAAGCAGAAGAAAATACAAAACACCCCCGGGAAAAAATATGGGCCATAGTTACATTTACAGTATCAAACTGCCCATTCTCTGTTCTTCACTTTGAAAAGCCAAGTGATTTCCTCAGTGTAAAATTTTCCTGCTTGTATTTGTTGTTTCTCTTTGCCAGGAAGTCTGTCATCCAGCTAGATCTGGCTAACACCAAGAAAGCTCTGATCGTACCTGCTTTTGAGACCCTGCGCTACCGCCTCTCCTTCCCCAAGTCAAAAGCAGAGCTGCTATCTATGTTGGACATGGGAACCCTCTTCACATTCAGGTAATGGAAAGTACTTTTGTTGAACCTGTGGTCATTATCTCTAAAGATTTTTTTGATGTTCTGGAATATTTGATTTTTCTCTCTCACTGTCAGCTAGCTAGCTCCATTAAGAAACCTACTGGAATTTTTTTTCCCTTTTCATAGAGAGGCAGTGAACAGAATCGTATGTGGATATATTCCATCTGTAAGCTCAGCATTTCATCTAGTATTATAATCCTCTACTGAAGGACTTCAGTTGTTAAATTGAATTTGTTTTATTTTCATCATTTTTTATTGCGCTACAAAATCAAGCGCAACCATTACACTCATGTGCGTGTAATTTGCTTTTTGGCTGCCAAATACTATCCGGATAGCTGTGTGCCTCATGTGACCAAAAATAATTTCTCTCTGCTCGTTCTTTCACTTCCTTACTGACTTACTGGAAAAACAAATGCAAGCTTGTCGTGTGCCCTTTTAAAGTGTGAAACAGCTGCTTAAATAGCTAGAGTTTCTCAATGCAGAGGTAAAAGTGTACTCTGACTAGAAGCTGAGAAGCAAAGAACACCTAAATCTGGAGCTCCTCTCTGAAGCAGACTCCTTTTGTGGCTGCAAGCAAGTCACTTCTATTATCTGCCAGACTCTTCAGTTTTAAAATGCAACTACCAGGGATTAACTGTCTCTTGGGTGTGTGTGGTAAGGTCTGATTAGCAGACATTTGTAAAGCATCGCAGTGATGGGAAGAGCACAATGTGGCCTTATGATATTGCACAGAGAGGGGGCTTAGGAGACCTGCGTTCTCTTCTGAGCTCCGCTACTGCCCTGCTGGGAGGTGGTACGTGAATCAGTTCGCTTTCTTACATCTCTGTTCTCCATCTCTGAAATGCAGGTAACAATGTTCACTTCTCCTTTTTACGGTATTTTGAGATATAGAGATAAAAACTATGAAAAAGCTAGGTATTATCCATGGTCGGTGGAGCTCTATATCACCTCTCCCATCCTTCCCTTACTTTAGAGCTTTCCTCACACTTCTCCCATTCCCTGTATTACACACCTCTCATTGCAGCAGCCACCCTTCCCTCATGTGGCTGCATGCACGTGTCATAGCATACAGCCTGTGTGAGCCTGGGAAACATAATTCTGACACTACCTCTACCAGTGACTGCCTTGAATTAGAAACTTGAGGCGACTGAGAGAGGCAAGCCTCTCTCTGGAAAATTACTTAAGGATACTGATAGAGCAAGTGCCTTTCACTCTGCCATCATTCTTTAACAGTCAAAGATACACAAATTAACAAGAGATTTGTTGATAGAATATAATTGTTTCTCCCATAGTTGAAAGAAAAAATCCTTCCAGTGGAAAATAACACCCTCAGGATTTTCAGATGTTACATTCCACCAACAATCAAATTTTCAGCTTGCACAGCAGTGGCCTTCCACTACAGATTTCATCTTCAAGCTGTACAGCATGTTGGCGTGTTACATATACAGACAGATTTGCAGATCCTTTCTCAAGTCTAACTCAGGCAAAAATCTCTTTAACTTCAGTGGGAGTTTTGCCAGAGCAAGGTTAAATAAGAATTGAAGGACATGCGGTCTGTAGCTGGTGTACATATTAATGTAGGACACATTTTACAAATGCTTCCCCAGTTTGCTTTGGCTCATTTCATTGCTCAAATCCATCAACAGCTACAAAGCAGCTGTGATCTGGGCTGAGAATTTCCACCTCCACCTTCAAGGTGCTTTAATAATGCTGCAATTCGAGGCTGAGCGGGTGGGAGTGAGCTGGGGAGGACTGCTGTGACAGTGATTGCTGAGAGTGCCTGCAGCATCCCAGTCCCTCACACCACATGGTAGATTACAATCTTCCCCTCACTGAAATTGCTTTTGTCACCTCTTTTCCAAATGGTGACCTTTTCTACCTCTGGGCAGCTAAAAAGTACAAAATGGCTCTCAATTACATCCCCCAGTCACCACCAGAAGAAAAGGGGAAGACATGTGAGCATCGATGGCTGGCAAGGTGTGCTGCGTGGAAACTCTCCGTGGCGGTGGGTTGCTCTGTGCCAGCTTGCTGGCTTTGTTTGCAGGTCCTGGCTGTGACTGACTCACGAGGACATGTCCGCTCAGTGCCTCGGTAATAGCTGATGAACCACAAATATGCTGCCAACACAGCTTTCAGGCACAAGGAATACCACAGCTGGTAGAAGGCTCATCATATTGAGAAAACATAACCAGCAACAACTGATTAACTAATTAACTGAATGCATCCACAATCCGGCAAAATGTTTATGCATCTCAGAACAGAACTGGGGAAGTTTTCCTTTCACCAAATCATCTTTCTCACTGAAATGGGAAGCTTTGAGGGACAAGGCAGGGAGGAAGAACACTCTGAGAAGAATAATGATTTCATTTACTAACTTTTGCAAAGTTTGCTATAGTTTTGAAACTTTGTTTCAAATAAAAGCAATCGATAATGAAAGTAAGATGAAACATTTGACCCAAAGCAGGGGGGTTTTGTGCAGTTGTTTTCCATGAACCGTGGGAACGAAACTCATCATCATTTTACGGAGATCAAATTATTTGGTTTGGATTTGTCAAAATTGCCAGCGTAATGAAAAATACGTTGTTCACAATTTTCACAAAGTTCTCCTGGGAGTCAGTGAGATTGAGTGTGGCCTTAAAATTTCATGTGTATTTAAATCTTAAGTGAGAAGGGCCTGAGCAGGAAAATTAGATTTATTCATTTGTCCTGTGAGATGGAAGACCAATAAAGACAGTGAACCACTTCTCACAACTGCGTCACCGAGAGTAAGTCTATTGGAAATGACTCACTCTTTTATGGTAGCTTCCTCTATATGGACATCCGTGTAATGAACTCTACATATCTTACTTTGCAGTACATTTCATGTGATGATCAGCCATTGGCCAAGACCTAGCTCCAGCAGATTATATGTGTGTGTGTGTATATATGTGTAGACCCATATATATTGTATGTACAGATATGTATGTAATCCTGAACTCTCACAATTCTTGTTTCCAGTCTGATTATTCCTTTACAGTTAGAGTGTGCACACGCTTATTTGAGCGTCCTGTACTCATTTTGCTCTTTGTCCTGACCTTAGCCATCCTTTTGTCTTCCTCTTGCCCTCCACTCACATCAGTCACTCTGAAGAGGCAAGTAGATCATCTGGTATTATTTTGGTTGGTACTATCAGATCTATTCCTTCCTTTCTGCTTTGTTTTATCTCTCCAATCTCTCTTCCAGATTTTCCCTTAATTGTCTCTACCCCATTTTTTTTTCCTGCTTGTCAGCTCTCTCGACTCACAGAGGTTATACCTGAGCTACTGTAACTGCTTACACTGCTTTCCCCAGAAAGGGTGGAAAGAAATCGATGTTTTTATGGTTAGTGTCGTGTTCCCCCCCTGTTTAAATCAGTCGGAGAGTGTTACTAGAATAGCAGCAGCATTTGACTGCTTCTCTGCAGGAATCTCTCAATTAGCCAAAGTTTGTATGGGGCTTTGAGGATACAAATCACTTCATAAGTGTTTAGCAGTCATTATTATTATTATCATAATTAATTTCAAAATGCCGGAGGTAGGATGTTAGAAGATACAGCATCCTCCACAATTCCATACCATTTTAAACCCCATATTGTGATTGTGCTTTTTTCCAGCATAGACAGCTGCCCATTAGTGACTGGGTAGGTTACCAACTCATTTCCAAAAGAAAAGGGATAGGCTTTTTGGAGATGATTCCAAAGGGCATTAAGGCTTGTAAGCATCTTTGTGAACCTGGCGCTGGTTTCTAATAACCTTTAGAGAATTAATTCACTGTCAGGTTTTTTTTAATATGGAAGGGCTTTATTTTTCCAGGTCCCCAAGCCAGATATCTGAAAGTGATGCAACCTGTTTACAGTTTAGAAATGCAGCCTTCAAAGGACCATATGTTACTTAGGACCCCAGTGCTATCCTAATAATTCTGTCGTCCTGCACTGTCTCTGAACAAGGAGAGTCAGCGAAGCTGAACATCTCTCTGTTTTTCCAGTTATAAGCCATGCGAATATACAGTCAAAGTGGAAACTCCTAAGTTGTGATTTTCGGTCCCTGTTTTTAGGAATGGCTTGCAATGTTACAAGAATTTCTGGGGTTGAAACATTACCTCAGGTCCTAATTCTGCAAATACTTAGTGCTGAAATCCCTTTACTTTAGCACGTGAGTGATCCCTGTGAATTCAATGTACCTTAACGTTACAAACTGGCAGGATGTTTGTTTTGCCCCTTCTGTTACACATCTCAGAGCGTTGTAATACAGATGGCCTGCTATGCTTTTGTTTCATTATTTAATCTGTGAGTCTGCAGAAAGAGCCTGTCTCATTGATTTTTGGAAAGGTGTAATAAGAATAAGTGGGCGAGAGAGTCATTGACCCTGGCACTAATGGGGTGGATTCAAGCTGTGCTTGGAAGAGACCTGCTGTGACCTAAACAAGATTAACGAAGTACAAAAGGATCTTTTTCTGTAAATCAAGTTGATTACCTTACTCAGGATCACATGGGTGCTCCCCACAATGTAGAAAGTACAGCAGAAAGCCTTTATGTAATATTTTACTTATTAATTGAATTATGCGCTTTGGCTCCTGCCATAGTAATAACAGTAATTAATAAAACAGAACATCTATCCAGAGCTGCAGGTGTCTCTCATACAAATTATAAAATTGCATATAAAACAGATCGTGAATGTCACTGTGGTATAGAAATAGCTAATTTTAGGGACCTTATCTGAGCTACAGAATTTCACACCGATTTTAGAGCACTGATACAGCTGCTTGGTTGCTAGGAACGAGACACAGCACTTTGTAGTGCAGATGAACTGTCTGTGTACTTTGTAATTGTTTCTCACATTAGCATTAGGTAGTGTTTTCACACTATCCTTCACCAAGTAGATGTGTTTAAGCATTGAGCACATAGAGGCTCTGGGAAGCGTGCTGGAAATAGTCCTAGAAATTGCCTCCGATATGTCCTGAAAATGATGATGTGAACTGTAAGCTAATGTCCTTATTTTTGAGCATTTCATCTAACAAGTAACATTTTGTTGCCTCGCCAAGATGCATTCTATCTAATTGCTTCCCCACATTCCTGCCATTTATGTCTGTTTAAGGTATCACGTCTGGACGAAAGGGCATGCGCCGACGAACTTTGCCAAGTGGCGAACAGCCACCACCCCCTACCGCGTTGAGTGGGAAGCAGACTTTGAGCCGTACGTTGTTGTGAGGAAGGACTGCCCAGAGTACGACAGGCGGTTTGTTGGATTTGGCTGGAACAAAGTAGCTCACATCATGGAACTGGATGCACAGGTGAGGAGATGATACCTGAATATCTCACCCAGGGCTGGGCAGCAGGGTTGTTAAATGAAATGCATGTTCTGTAGAAAGGCTTCAGGCTTTGCATTACCAAAGTGCTCATCTGGCCTTTCTTAATGGCTCCTTAATGAGTGCTTCTTGAGTTGGGAACACTCAGTTTAGTCCTTGTCAAGCATTGAAAGAAGAACTGAGTCTGAGTTAGTTTATTTGTCAGTGCTGAGAAAGTTGTTGTCTCACAGTGGCACAATCCCTGCAGTGCCCACCTCCTGCCCGACAGTGTGTCTGAGCATTGCAGCACTTGTTGCCAGTCTCATCACCTACTAGGGCATCTATAGACCTAGCTGGAAGTTTTTCAGTTAAACAGAGGTTGGTGAGTCCCAAATGCTAATTTAGAATTCAAAAAGCAATCTTAAATTGAATCCAAGGCAAGCATCTTCAATTTCTGGCCTTGATTTACAGCATATCTCTGCAAAGCCAAGGACCTTACATTTCCAAAGTCTCTTGCTGTGGAGCAGGCTCTAGAGGATCCAGGTACTTGACCACTGGGCTACCTGCCTCTTGGATCTGTGACTTGGGATGGAGCTGCTGAGCAGAATATATAAGAATAAGGATGCAGAGAAAGCTCGAGAGTCCCAGACTGGTACTAGAGCTCTCAGAGCTGCCAAGGTCCCTGCCACCAACCTAGATCTTAGAGGCTGGCAGTGCCTATGGCTCTGTGGGACCCCAGAGCTGCTGCTCACCGAAATGGCAGGGTTTACATCTCCCTGCTGTTCTTGGATGTGAAGCTAACCACTGTGCTAATCAGCAGGGTCTGGGTCATGGCATTTCTTTTTAGTTTGGGTTTGGGTTTTTTTTTGTAGTTTGGTTTCAGTCCCAGTTTTTGAACTAGTAGTATTTCATGCTAACCAAAAAACATGCTTTTTGGCCATCTGTATCCTCCTATGCTAGCTTCTGCTGTAGATGGAATATAGCTGATCCTTCTCTGCCCACCTCTTGCAAGTTTATGTGAAGCAGAGCAGCACAAGACATGCAGCAAGTTACTGGGCGATTGTGTCTCTGGGGTGCGGGCTACAGTGTATTTGTGTGCAGGCCCATATGTGGGAGGGATATTTTCTACTTCTGCTTATAAAACCACACGGTCACCTTGGGTTGGATGCCACTTGCCCTCTGTTTGCAGGAGGGCATTCCCAACAAATTTGTATCTACTTATGTTGAGAAAAAATTATTACAGACTAGAAAAAAAATTGTCCCTTATATTACCGTTAATAATAATAATACTTTGCTCTGCTATGGCACTTTAATTTTCCAGTGCACTTTCCAAACACTGATCAATTAACCATCAATTGTGGAGAGTGCTAGTGTAATGATTTATTATTTGTTAATCTGGGTAACAAGGCTTATGTTCCCACTGGCAGCTCTCATCTAGCGCTCACGATTTAACTCTTCTGTTCAGAGACATTTGCCCAGCATGCAGATTCACTGGGAATCAGTGAATGGGAAATTGGAATATTTTTCAAAGTTGATCATAGTGCAGATATTTTAAATGGCCATTGGGTTGGAACTAACTCTGGGGAATTGTTTTTCTCACTCTTCCAGCCTTAAAAACATTCTCACATTGAAAAGAAGTTTCATTTTCATCTGTAGCAACATGGGTATTGGCCTGTTCTCCCAGAAAAACAGCCTGGAGAGGACGTGGGATCACACCTACCTCCCCCTATGGCATTCCTCTGCTTCAGGGTGTCCACAGATCAGGATGCTGCCAGCTGCTTGGCTAGCTTCATTATCAGCAGGCAGAGCAGCTTCTCAATTGAATTATTTCACTGCTCCTCACAACTGCAGTGTCTGTCAAGAGAACTGCTTCAGAGTCCTTACCAAGGGCCTGTGCCACTACCGTCCTTCAGAGCAGCCCACAGCGTGGAGATAATCGTCATTATTATTCTGAGGGCATGCAGATGTCCACTGAGCTGGATGCTGTACAAATACATAGATAATGGCAGTCTCCGTCTAAAGAATTTATAACCTGTAAGGTAGGGAAGTTCCTGCAACTGCATTGCTTTCTCAACAGATGTTTCCATGTAGCAGGGACGGGTCATCAGGAAACCTTTCCCTGCTCTTCCAGTGACTGTGGAACTAGACTGTGAGCAATCCTTTTACCAGGACCCCAGCCCAGAATCTTTCAAAGGGGCTTGTTAGCAGCAGATTCTCATGTTTTTGGAAGGCTTTATGTGCCTGAAGGCCTTTCGGAGGGATGGGAGTACTGCTGTGCTGAACAGTTTACACTGCAGAGCATAGACGGTCCCTGATGTGCAAGATTACAGACTTGAGATGCAAACAGAGAACAAAGAAAAGGTTGTATGAGGGGGATGCATCTTCCTCTGCAGCTTCAGCTCTTAGTTTTAAGGTCCTGTAGAGACATATTTTGTAGTCTGTAGTTTATCAGCTCTCCTCACTCCATCGTGCCAGCCTTTGTTTTTGTGTTTGGTTCCCCGTTAGTTCTAAGTCTCTTCCAGTTAAATGAGTTCTGCCGGTGAGCATCAAATTATTTTGCTCTTGCTGTACATTTGTCACCCCAGAGGGGTCCATTCCCATATATGACAGCATTGTAATTTGGCACAAAGATTTACCACTTGAGCACTGTCTGGCAGGGAACAGCCATTCCCATAATGAGAAAGGAGCAACCATACAGCTGCATCTGCACCTAGCTGTCCAACACACGCTACTGTTTCATAGGTGTCTCTGGGAAGGCACTGCAGCCTTGGCTATACTTTGGGCTCACCAATACCGCCGCCTGAGTTGGGAAATAGATCCACATTGCATTCTGCTCACTTTTTTCCATTTTGTTTGGGCTTCATTTTGGGCTGTGTTGCTCAAACACTTGGTTTCTGGTAGCATCGTAACCCAGCAGCTTTCAGTCTTTTCTGGGTTGATCATATTTTTTCAGGTGAAGAAAGATTTATAGGTGATACACTCATGTTTATTAGCACAAGTGGAGTACTCTGCCTCTGTGCTGCAGATACTCTGTCTCTGCACAGACTCCCAAATCTACAAGTGACTGGACTTTGCAAACCAGGGGAGGTTGTACACCATTTCTTTTAAAGCCAGCATGCTCTGTGGCTGTTCCATCCCTGCCCACTGTCTTATGCAGAGATGGTTAATGAGTCAATACAGCAACAGCTGTAGATAGAAGCTGTGTGAGGACAATAGGAAATTTGCCTGTAGAGGCTTTGAAGTTTCTTTGTCATTTGCATTCCATACAACTCAGACTTTTTGAAATGCCGTATGAAAAAAGAGGGTGTCCTAGTGGTTAGGGTACTTCGCTTGGCTAAAGAATACTGAGATTCACATCGCTTTTCTGCCCAGTTCCTTGCAGGAGCAGATACCTGTTTCTTGCACATCCTACACTAGTGAACTTTCAGCTTGTCTAAGAATCAGTCTTTGTCTAGCTTTGCTCTAATGATCATATATTTAATTATAAAAATTGAAAAAATCTAACAGGAGTAGTTGAGACTTTTTTAACAACAAAAATTGTCAAAGAACTTGGTCAGATATAAATAAAGAGCATTAGTGAAGTAGTTTTAGAGGAGAGGGGGAATTAAAACAGTATCTCATACTTTGTGAAGGAGAACTTAATTTGCGTAAAACCTTCTCAAAGCATATAGAATTAGCAGGTCCATTTTCACGTCACCTATAAAAGATATCATATTCTCCCTTCATTTCAGGTTTATAAATAGTTTTGGACAGTTTTCTCACTGTAAGTATCTTAGTATACAGGCAAAGCAACATATGTAGAGCAATGGATGCCTTTGTAAATATAGCTTATTCCAGCATCCCCAAAAAGATAAATTGTAGGGGCAGAAACATGCTTTTGCATGGACACTGGAGTGCGCAGTCACAGCTGTGTTGGTTGCAAGCACACTACTGCAAAATCTGTGCTGCAGACATGGCTTCAGGCATGCCTTTTGTACTGTTTCCCCATTATTTGGCTTACATGGAGAAAAGCATTTTAAAAGAGAAAGTAGATCTTCCATAAAACCAAGAGAAAACAACTTTTAAAAAAGAAGGCTTATATAGCATATCTGTATGGGTTTGTTGTTTCTGAGACCTACGCTGCACTGTTACGTGATGGAGCATGTTTGACTGTGGAGTACGGGAGAGATGCATTGCAAGAGGGCTCGGGAACACCCTCACAGCCATTGTCTTTCTCCCCCAGGAGTACGAGTTCACGGTGCTGCCCAACGCCTACATGATCCACATGCCGCACGCCCCCAGCTTCGACATCACCAAGTTTCGCTCCAACAAGCAATACCGCATCTGTCTCAAGACCCTGAAGGAGGAGTTCCAGCAGGATATGTCGCGCCACTACGGCTTTGCAGCCCTCAAATATCTCACGGCAGAGAACAACAGCTAGCACAATGGAGCCCGTGTGCGGGAAACAGGGACACTGGAGGGAGGAGCCACTCAGTGTTTGGGGCCTGGTCTTCAAACTTCGAACTGAGAAATACTTTCTGTTTTTATATCATACCCGGCAGTTCTAACAGTAGAAATTTGAAGTGACATGTCTTCAGACTACGCTCATTCGTCCCTTCCCCAACTACCCCAGGCCTTTCAGCTTTAGCGTTCGTGAGGTGTCAGCGAGAGGGGCGGCCACACGCCCGCCGTGCCGCCAGAGGTGGGGACTGGGCAGGGGCTGGGAACGCACGCTGCTCTGCAACTGCAGAGCAAAGACAGACCTTCAGAATATAGGATTTCATGTTGCTATTTAATAATTTGACATGCTTTTTATCTGTAAAGAAAGATCTTCGGGTCGCTGTCCTGTGAATTTCAAATCTGCACTACTCTAAAAGGGAACTTTCACCTGTGAACTTTCACAGGGGCCCTGTTAACATGGATGACCTTGTTAATGCAGGATGAGCCAAAGGTCTCAATTAGCCTTGAAAACGAAGGGGACACTTATACAATACTGCACTCCAGAGAAGGTGTGTTGCTGGTTTAGGTGTATACATGATATCAGCTGGTCTTTTATTCTCAAATTAGTTGTTTTATCAGGAAAATCCCCTACACCCTACTCTGCCTTTTCCCCAGTCCTAAATGCTGCTCCTTTCATTGCCAAGGAAATGTCTCCCCTGTGTTTCTTTCCCATCTTCAGTTCTGGTGGTCCAGTAAAGAAGATCAGTAGCTCTGCCAGAAAGTGAACAGAACTTGTCAGTGTAAGGTCTGTTTTCACCAGAGCAACTTGTTCGTGTGTGTCTCGTAAAATAAAAGGCCTGGCTATAATTCTTTATCTTTTTTAGGCAAGAATTGGATTTTGCCTATAAGGCACGTTGTGCGGGGGGATATTGATTTATAGGCTCATTTCAGTGCGTGCCTATCTGTGAAGGCATTGAGCCTTGGGCTTTAAGTGGACTTCTTTGCTGAACAGGGATTATAAACATGGCAACTAGTAGCCTTGGTGCTCTCCTACTGCCTGCTGCAAGGTCTCAGAACTACTTCGTTAAAGGAGTTTATAAATAAAAGGAGCAGAACCGTTAGGAATAAACTCCCCATTCGAGGGGGAGAAAAGAATGTGTTGGGAATCTGAGTGTGAGTGTTCGCTTGAACGCGGGCTGGTCAAGTTCACAACTTCGGTACACGCAGGAGTATGCTAGAGGGAGGACAGGAAACCTAACAAGCAAAATGCAGAAAACAAGACACTGGACTTTTTACCATTTTCTTTATTCTTCAGTATTAATGTTGTGTTTACATGGGATGAAGAGATGAGGTTTAATGCACTACCCCTTGCAGGGCTATTTGTAATTTCTGTTGCAATGTTAATAGAGAAAGCAGAAACAACTCAGTGAGAAATGCGTCTGTCTCCCTACCCCAGATCCCCATACAACCAGGCATACCAATACCACTGCCTGAGTTAGGAAATGAATCCACATTGCATTCTGCTCACTTTTTTTCCATTTTGTTTTTCAGCCACTGGACCTTCTACTTTCTTCCTCACCTTATCCCTCTAGAGCTTGGTTTTATTTCTAACCTGACATTTCGTGAGAGTTTTCTGTTACGGTGGAAACCACGCGGTTAAACCAGACATTTAAACTACAAATATCAGTTTTATATATCATGTTGTGTATATATAAGAAAAGCTAAAAAAGGCAACATCTTTGACAAGAAATAAAAAGGGGCGGGAGGCTATGTGTAATTTTCACTTTTTCCCCTGGGAGTGTTGGCTGCATAAGAATACATCACTGCATAATTTTCCAAAGTGCTTTTCTTCTGTTCTTAATGGCTTCATGTAAAGATTTACATTAAAAGCTGGAAAGAGCTGGGAAGAGGTGAAATGAGTGCTCAGTCCTGGCTAAGATACATTTGTTAAAAAAACCCAAAATCTTAACTCCCCAAGTCCCATATTACTCACCATTAAGGGCCCAGGTCGATGTGCATTTTGAGAATGAGAAGAACCCTGCAGCACAGAGTCCTGTTGATTAGCTAATGTGCAGAAAGATGTCAAAAGCTGATCCTAAGAGAGGCTAACACTGGTTGTACCTACATAAAATCTCCAGAGCTTCAGTGTGGCCACCATTATGTTTCATATATATTAAATTTCTCCTTGGCTTAACAATGTTGCCCAAGGATGGACTGGATTGCCCTGCAGCAGCATAACCTGTAGCATGGACCTGTACATTATTTGGGTGTACCATTATCAACATGAACATTATTCTTTCCTCAGTGGTCGTGATATGTGGATGGGGAAGCAGGGAGGTAATCATTTGCTACTTGCCTGTCTGTACAGCGAGTCATGGGACCTCCTGGGTAGGCTTAGGTGTGCTGGCTGGTGTAACCAGCTCAAAGATTGGTAGTAGGTTCAAAGAGCCCCTTTTTTTTCCCTTACAGACACTGTACTGACTTGTACCTGTCGTGTCATGTTTGTCTATGCGCTTCATGATTTGGGAGGTGTGGGGCTTGAGATTTTTTAACACATTTCAGCCAATTTACATGATAGCAAATTAGGATTACATATCTGTCTGTAACTGCCAGGGCTCCTCCAACACCGTGAAAAAAACAACAACAACAACAAAAATCCCCAACTCAGTTGTAACACTGACTGTCTTCCAGTCCGCTGCTGTACTAGGTATTTGCTAGCAACTTTGTTACTTAATTCTCAGTTTTCTCCTGAAGTCTTTAAGAAATATCAGATAAACCTGGTGACTTAATGCCTTTGATTTATTGATTTGTTCCACCAACTTCTCTCTTGAGTCTTCAGTCTATGACCTCTCCTTATCTTTGATATTTGGAAAGTGTGAGTCTCTCATTTAGATATCACTCCAGCACCCTCTCTGGTGAAGACTGATGCAAATAAATCATTTAGATTCTTGGCAATGTCCTTATTGTCTTTAATTGTTTCTTCTACTTATTGTTTGGGGTGGCCTACCGGTTATCTCCAGTTTTCTGCTTTTGGTGTACTGAGCAAATGTGTATTTTCAGTTTTAACTTCCTACTATTTGCTCTTCAGATTCCCTCTTAGCTTGCTCAAACTCCATCTTAACTATTACATACCTTCCTTTCAGCTTTACAAAGTTTTGATTTCCGTTCTCTGAAGGTTTCCTATTTGGCCTGAATAACTTCTAAAATTTCCAATTTAGTCATATCAGCATTTCCTTGTCGTTGTCTTCCATTTATCTAAGGGAATACCATACTCCATGGCTATTTATAAGCCCTTTCCATTTTTAATGTGAGGATTTCAGTTTTTCTTTTCTTTTTATTTAGAGCCACTGATTCTTTCTTTAAAAGGAAAAAGGGTTTTTTGGTTTTAAATTTTTATATCAAATATCACCCTACTAGGTTCTGGGGGTTTGTATTTTCCTCTTTAACCTTCCTTTCCTAGTCAAGGGATCAGAAATAAAATCCTACAAAATTCTTTTGTTCTTCTAATTTGGGGTATTATCTTCACACATTTTGTTCTCTGTCTCCCTTTTCCCCCTCCACTCCAAAACATTGACACGTGAGTCACTGCAAACTTTTCAGTCCCCTAAGCCCCTTCTAGCACCAGAGCCTGAACTGTGTATTTCCCAGCACCTCCTGACATCCCACCACATTCCAAATAATAATCTGCTGGCTGGCACCCAATCCTCCTATTTTTGTTTTCATGCTTCTCCCTTTGATATAACATGCTTTGCAAGTTTAAGTTTTGGGCAAAGCGCTTGCCTTTATTTAATGCCTTATTGTAACCCTCTAATATGTTTCCTTGATTTCTCTGTTGTCACAGTGTATACCTTCAAATGTTTGGCTGTAGTTTCCATCCTATCATTTTCTGGCTAAGGGTCATCTACCATTTGCCTACCTGGCAGACCTAGAAAATGTCTTTGTTGATCCCAAATAGTCCTTAGTATCTATCAGATGTTTTTTCCAAATCCTACTTCCAGTAATTCCTTCCAGCCTTGCTGGTTTCCTATGTAAGCAGTCCAGTTCCACTTCATAATTTGCTATTTTTATTCTATTTGTAATCATCCTCTTGGACTCAGTGACATAAAGGAATTAGCAGCTGTACCTGCAGTTCCATCACTTTTGTTAGACTGAATATCTGATATGCTCACATTATTCCTAAAGTACTGATTTTTCACCTGTAGGCTTTATGTAAATCATAAACTGCATTTTCCTTTTACTGTGACAACTGGAGGCACTTTGTAGTGTTATTTGCAGTAGCTGTTGCAGCAGAGTAAGCTCTGTGTTAGAGGGAAAAGCACAAAAACCTGGTCAGAATTGTTTCTCTCTGCAGGGGAAAATAAGGCCCTAGCACAGCTGAAGAGTTTTATGAATGCCTTGCACAAAACACATTGCACATTATTTTCTGGTAGGTATAATCGTACATTGTCCAATTAAATATGAAAAATACATTTTTAATGTTCTCATTTTTACATGCAATTCTATCCAGAAGATAATGCATTTCCTTCTCTATCTTGCCAGTTTCCCCAGTACTCCAGCCTGCCTAATAGCCCCATCTGGTTTTGGCTGAGAAAGATTAATGACCAGCAGCACTGGGAGTCCTGGCAAATCAGCAGAGATATTACTCTTAGGCATTGCACAGTCCATTCCTTCCTGCTCTGCCAGATACTGTATGGGTGTTCCTCAGGTTTCAGTGCAGCAACAGGAGAACACAGCAAGCTCAGCGAGTGGGGTGCGCATCATTATTTGTGAACTTCAACAAGGTCTAATACGTTAGATGGTGGGAGTGCAAAAAAAAGAATGTATCATTGTTAGCTCAAAAAATATTTCAGTTTTAGGAAAAGAAAGCAGCTAAATTTGTACAACTCCAGTAAGTGAGACTGGAACAAATAAGTCACTAGTCGACAATGACAGCCAATAACCTAGTTTTTCCACTATAGTATTGAAAACACAGAAGCACTGATATCTAAATGAAGTTGTTTTTACAGTAGTAATTCATAATGTATATTTAGATGGTATGTTTACATCCAAACACTTAGGTGGTTTGGGGATTGTTTGAAGATTGTTACTGTGGTTCACAATATAAAATGAAGTTTGGAAAAGCTTCTGGCTGTGCACAGCAAATAATGGCTTGGGAAATGCTTACAAAGCTGGATTTAGAAATACCTTGCTTTTATAGGAATTTTGTTTCATCAGTAGTTACACATTCCCAAAACAAGACACAAAGTCCTTGAGAATTTAAAAAGGAGCTATGTACGTGTCCGTTGGCTTGAACATTTTCTTCTTACAAATACTTGGGATTTGAGGTTTGTTTGCTCTGCAGAGTAGAATTGTTATGATCAGTTGAAAAAATAATCTGAGAATTA